TCTATTACAAGCGCATATGGGTGGCAGTCTTCCTGAATGGCTTGAGAACCCTTTATAAACCAGTTTAATTATATCACAAGGACTTGAATGAAGGACTTACGTTATGTTAGACCATGCGGTTACAGTTTTATCGATTTTATTCATGTGTTAAATGTGAATATGAAGGTTATTATAGTCGGATGATTGAATAAAAGTGCAATGATTATTTTAAATGAAGTGGTGTTATAATGTAGTCTAGTCCAGGGGTAGCCAAGCACTGGTCCTCCAGCTGTGGTGAAACTACCGGGAGTCATGTCTGTGGCTGTTAGAATGTTGCAATGCCTCATGGGATTTGTAGTTTCACCACAGCTGGAGGACCAGTGTTTGGCTACCCCTGGTCTAGTCTACAGAACGCAGAGGTGTTTTTTTTATATGAGAACCGCCTGATCTATATTTTGCAATTCATATAGCGGTTTGTTTATTTTTTATCCATTTATTTTTTTATTCACGCTACAAATAATCCTATTCCTGCTTTGATGCTCAGATTAGAGTTTAGGACCTGAGAAAACAAATAAACATTCCTAAGTGTTACAGGATCACATTTTAATACTCTAGTAATGCAGTAATGCAGTTCTCACAACAATAATCTAACTGTATATACTGCCATGGTAGTAAATAATAAAATCATATCCCATGCAAAATATACTGTACCTGCATAGATCACTCCAGAGTACAGCCTTTCACAAGAGTATATCCTGTAAACCTCAGAAAATCTTAACATGAACAGAGTTCACACTACCAAGCTATCCACAGTTCAAACTGTCCGATGATCACCTGATAAAGATTTGCACTGTCATTCTGCACACTTCTGGGATTCTCTGCTTGCATAGGGACATTGTTCTGGGCCGCAGTGCAAGAACCGTGTCAGGCTTCATCACATGTTTTGTACACTTCTTTGTACATTGGTGGTCAGGAGTATAATACATATGCACAGAAATTATGTGAAGAGGCTTCTAGTTTAGACCGTAGCAGGCTCTCCATCCAATATGGCACACATTTTTTATTTAACGAGCACTACCATCAGAAGGCATACTACGGGAAACAACACACTTTGACATTTGCAGCTATGTGTGCATCCTGTAACACAGGTTACATTTTAATGCTGAGACCCCAGCAACAGGCAACGACACATATTAAATACATACAGTACATATAAGGAAACTGATTTGACTGTCAAACGATTTTTAATTCTGTCCATCCATTTCTCAGATTTAAACAACCCTATCATACTGCACCGCCAGGTGGATGATAGCATTTACATTACAGGTACACTGTGGTGTCTGCCCACCTCTCTGCTGACTGGACAGTGAATAAGCAGCGGCAGACTGATGAGGTCATTCTTCTGCTCATTCTGCTCCCTCCCTTTATCAGCATGTGCCTTGTTATCACATTTGCATACAGCACACCTAATTGGTTTTAGACCTGTACACCACTCCCCTAATGTAAGTGCTGCTGTGGAGGGTAATGCAAGAGGCTGATATCAAATCAATTGTAGGTACTTACACTAGTTGCATTAAAAAAAATATAATAATATATTGATTTATTAATCAGTACATAATTGTCTTAATTGAGTCTTATCTGCCCAGAGTTCAGCCTCAAGACTATGAATTGGTTTATGTAAAACTAACCCTATCAACCCAGCACAGCCAGTCAAAAAGTATTTAGAGGTGCTTGTAAGTACTTTCTTAACCATACTGAGTGCCTCAAAGAGACCACAAAGCTGGCAATGTGCCATGTCCCTCTGACCAACAGAGAGTCATGACTTGCAAGAAGCATAACATGACTTTACCTTCCGAGATGTAGTCAGTATTTGCAAGCTGAAGTTCAGGGCGTAAGAATGCATGGGTCATATATATTGTAAAAATAAATAAATAAAACAGGAAAAGACATGCATATAACGGGAATACCTCCTTTAAGGAAACTCCGTCCTCAGGGACCCTTCAATGTATCCCATTCATCCCCTTTGTTGGTGTCAGTGGAAGTAAAATAAACCCCATTGTTGGTGTCAGTGGGAGTAAAATAAACCCCATTGTTGGTGTCAGTGGGAGTAAAATAAACCCCATTGTTGGTGTCAGTGGGAGTAAAATAAACCCCATTGTTGGTGTCAGTGGAAGTAAAATAAACCCCATTGTTGGTGTCAGTGGGAGTAAAATAAACCACATTGTTGTTGTCAGTGGGAGTAAAATAAACCCCATTGTTGGTATCAGTAGGAGTAAAAAAAAAATTGGTATTAGTGGGTGTAAAGTACGTTCTACCATCAGTGGGGGTAAAAGAAACCCAATGTTGTTAAAGTGGAACTCCAAATTTGCTAATAAAAGTATAGTTGCATAAGTAATTACCTCATTAACGCTACTCTGGTTTTCAATTTCTTCACAAATCCCCATCCTGTCCATGATTACAATGAAAAATCCTTAAAGGTTCCAGTACGTCCAGCTGTGTGACAGTATGCATCACGCTGTCTGTCATTTGCCATGTCATTTATTCTTCCCTCTGTAGTTAGAGGGTCTACAGAGATGACATAATAACATAAGGAACACTGATGCTTTGTGGGACTGAATAGTATCTATTTTCAATAATCACACCCAGTAATGCCCACTGACCAAAAACTGAGTTCTGCCCTGCCCCTTTGTTTTGCTCAGCGTTCCTTAGAGCTCCTGGTTACAAATGAGCTAAATTTGAAGACACTGTGAGCAGACTTATGAACACTTCCCACACTCCAATCACTATGGAAGGTGCCCTGGCGATGGCCCAGCCCCTTTGTTTTGCTCAGTGTACCTTAGAGCTCCTAGTTACAAATGAGCTGAATTTGAAGACACTGTGAGCAGACTTATGAACACTTCCCACACTTCATCCACTATGAGTGGTGCCCTGGTGATGGCTCTGCTCATCGTACCTCAGATCTCCTAGATGCAAAGGAGCAGAGGACACTGAGACTTCCAAGCAGCTCACTCTGGCAGCTCTGTCACTCTGAGAGCTGCTCTACACTTTCTATAATAAAGTGCAAAAAAAAACCCTAAAAATATAGTTAGCGAAAGTCGCCTATAAAATCTTGATCTTCTCTTCACTCCAAGACTACTAACTCAAATGTCTCCCAGATCAGTGCTCTTGTGTAACAAGTCGGAAACACACATCCACCAATTTCATTACCTTCCCATCATAGAAAGGTAAAAAAGCTCAATAGATCGTCCCTTTGGTTCTCCACAATTCCAACTCTAAATTATGACCAGGTAATAATGTTTCACCACTTCTCCTCCCCTTCTCTATGTAGTTAAGATCTCATATACTAATTCTTGATAAATGATTCAAAATAAACTTTATGCATGCTTTAATGTCAGTGGGAGCAAAATAAAACCCATATTGTTAGATTCAGTGGGAATAATAAGTATCATACCATTGCTTTAAGTGGGAGCAAAAAGAGTCCTATGATCAAATTGGTGTTTAGTGCTTACATACCAGATCACACATCCCGGTGCGGCGGCTGCTCTCTAGTTGGAGCTGAAACTATCCTGCCATGGTGGGGCCCAGACCTGACAGTGCTCAGATCATCTGCCCTTTCGGGTGCTAGAACGTGGAGCGTCTCACAGAAACCAAAAAAGAAAAAGAAAATCTCCCCTGCATTCATATTTCCTCACATATTCATGGGAATTTGTCACAAGTGCCTTGCTTAAAGGAGAACTATGGGGTTAAGGCTTTTCCCCATAGTTCTCCTTAGGGTAACGGGAGGACACAAACTAGCATCCTCCCGTCACCCTAAGCTCAGTATACCGCGAGCTGTAGCTCGCGGTATACTGAGACGCCGCAGTATACCGCAAGCAGCTGCTCGCGGTATACTAAGACGCCGCAGCTGAAGCGGATCCCGACAATTATGTCTGGATCCGCCCAGCTGCGTGACTGACAGCTGGCTCTTCCTATCTAGAGGCAGAGCCAGCTGTACCTGCCTCCTCCCCTGTCCGTTCCGCCAGTCAGCGCTGGCGGATCGGAGTGGGGGGAATCCAGCCCCTCCCCTGTCACGGCAGAGGGCTGTGACAGGATCGAGAGGTGAGCGAACGCCGGTATGTGTTCTCTCACCTCTCGATCTACTGACCCGACCTGTGACGGTCTCATTGTCAAGGGTCGGCTAGAACTATGAGGTGAGTGAAAAGCACTCACCTCATAGTTCTCCTTTAAGGTAGAACCATGGGAAGAGTGAGATACACTCATCCCCATAATTAGAGCTGACGTGTGACAATGAAGCTATCGAACGTGAGCTCTATTGATCGAGAACTGGGCAATCACATATCGCCGATTGCTCAGTTCCGGATCATCTCCCTGCAGGGATTCCCCACTCCCCTCTCACTGAATGGAGGAACGGACGGGGAAGGGGGCAGGCACAGCTGGCTCTGGAGAAGCAGAGTCAGCTGTCAGTCAGGTAGTGGAGTCACAATATATGCTGAGTTTTGGGTCACAGGAGGGCATTAGTATATGTCCTCCCCTGACCCTAAAGAGAACTACAGCCAAAAAGATTGGGTCATTCCCAGATAGCAAGGATAACTTGCCACAAACTTGTGTCAGGGTTAAATTGTAATTCTTGTTAACTTGCCGCACACATTCCTGGCACGTTGTAGACTTGCAGAACACTCGCAGCACAAGTTCTAGTTGACACTTTTTGAATTTGTAGCAAATTTGCTTGGCAAGTCTACAGCAAGAGTCTTGCAGGTCTGAGCAAGAGCTCTGCAAGGTCGCTGGTCTGGAGACTTGCAATGCAGACTTGCTGTAATTGTGCAACAAAATTGTGAAGCTTGGCAAGTCTGCAATAGTTTAGCAAGTCATTTTCAAACTTGCACCTCAATTGCTTGCTATCTGAGTTGTTCTCTTTTAAAAATAAATCTTATTATCAGAAAGCAGAGTATTTTTTACATTATGATAGTGTTCTGTAGCCACTTAAAATACAAATACCAGAGTTGCACAGCTACAGTACATACCTCCCGGTTGTGATGGGTCACGACTACTGGAGAACAACCTTTTCTTATAAGAAAGTACAGTAGTAAATGCTTCTGAAGAGACTCTCCGAGATTTCCAGAGCTGTAATCTGAATACAGAGCTTACAAGCATCCCAAAACCAAAGCGCTGAATGAAAAGGAAATTGACACCACCATTAGTTGGCTTCTGAAGCTGACATACATAAAGCAAACAAGAAAATCGAGTAAATTAAACCAATACCATTTGAAAGAAAAAAATATTTAAAAAAAAATCCGCAATGACTACATACTCTTCATGCTTTAAACTTAGCCTGTTGGTTCAACTCTCTTTGTATGGTGGCCTCAGGTTCAGGTTTTGCTCTCTGCTTGCTGACTATGTTTACCTTCAAGGTGCCTGAGGATTCCAAAATCCCTTTTACTAGGAATTTATATTACAAACTGCTTCCTGGTTCATACCTGGCTTGATTACTGCTAGGACTTCCCGTTGGCCATCGAGGCTGTCCATCACATTTGACAGCCAACATGCTACTTATAGACCCGAAAGCTACATGATGAGCGAATCACATTAGGATTAGCTTACACAGAGGCTGCTTTCTACCGTCAGTTTTGATCTGTTTCTACAATAATTACATAACAGCAAAGAATAGCACACAATTACTAGCGCCCAACTGCCCTTTACCCTGACAGTCTCCCTCTTACACTGGAAACCTGACACCCCTACGCGGGCCTCCAAATCGATTCACAAGCATCTCATCAATGCAGCACGCACGATTATCCCCCGCCACTGGCGACAGGAACACACACCCACAATCAACGAATGGTTCACACAGGTCGGACATGTATATGAAATGGAAGAGCTGCTAGCCACTAGACAGGACACCCTAGACCAGGGGTGCCCCATATTGCAGGACCGGACCGCACTGAGACTGTGCGGCCCGGTAACATTTGATCCGCGGACCGGTACAGGTCCGCGGACCGGGGGTTGGGGGACCACTGCCCTAGACAACTTCAGAAAGACGTGGGCATGCTGGACCCACTATGTCACAACGGCCGACTTCAAGGCAATGCACCATGGAGGCTCTTAAGTGACGGGCTACTAAAGGCACCTTACCCTCAACCACTGTCCACCCCCGCATTACCAGACAAATACTCACAGACCTTATCTAGACTATATTCATCCACCCTCCCCATGCCCTCGTCCCATCCACTTCCTCCCTCCCCTTCCCCCCAGCTCACCCAACCCTATTATTTGCTCAACAAACTCCCTCTACCCCGAATTTCGGGTGTCATGGACACACTCACAGATAGATAATGCACATGGCATGCGACTCGGCGCTTCCATGACCTTAAAGTAACCTCAAGGCAACCTCACTCACATGCACCTCGTCACTGCATTTCTCCTGTTATGAGTGACTCAGGTCACCAAGAGGATCACGCATCAATCTGTGAACACTTGTTTGTACTGTTCGTTGTCCCTTTTTTTTTCTAATCC